GCCTGCTGGGAAGCTTGGTCTGCTGAAACCCTGCCTGGTTCAGCTCCTGGGGCCAACGGCGAGATTCTGGACTGTTTTGGTGGCATCCAAAGACGATCTCAGAGCACTTTGAACCTGTCTGTTGGGTTTTCTTTTTGTTTCCCACCCTTCACTTGCTTCACTGTTTTTTGTTTTTTAAATTTGTTTTGGAAATAACAAAAAAAAAAAATATTTATTGGCCAGGATGGTGGTGCTGCTAAGACCGAGAAATTAAAAGAACCGGACAGATGGATGCAGAGAACCGGAGGGCAGCGTGGGATCTTCTCCGGCCATGGCCCTGGGTCTTGAGAGAAAGCTCAGGTCTGGGGTTCTGACAGCAAAGAGGACCCCCAGGAGGGAGGGGGTAGGAGGCAGCTGAAGTGAGCCCTTTAGCCCTGGGTGCCCGGCTCATACTGTCCAAGCTGTGTTCTGGGCTTTACTGAGCAGAAGATGTGGCAGCTGTCAGGGCTGTGCAAGATTCGGGAAGTGGCAACAAGAGGGGCCAGGAGATCTGCAGGACCAAAATGGTGCAGTGACAGGCTGGGCAGTGGGCCCAGGAAAATGGGATCGGGGAGGACTGGGTAAGACCTGGCCTCCCCCACTAGCCTGACGACCATCTCAGTCTACCTCGGTGCTGGCCAGGAAACCTATCGGCTACCTCTCCGCCACCCCAGACTGTGGGCAGGGGATGGGGAGGGAGTGGGCCTGGGATTAGGACCCCCTTCCAGAGTTTCCTCCAGATGGGGGCAGTGCCCAGGGAGGGGTTATATGTCTTCCCTGCCACGGGAGGGGAATCCCCAGCCCAGGCACCAGGCCCTTCAGCAGGGAAGGGATCCTCCAGGAAGAGGGTCCCAGGAGCAGACCCTGCCCCCAGATGGCCCCCACAGACATCCCCAATCTGAAAGCCATGTGTGTCCGTGTATATAGGAACCATGTACAGAGCCCAGAAAAGCCCCTCCACTTCCCCCCGGGAAAAAAAGAAAACTAGACAGAAACTCATCTATATATTCTGTATCTGGAGTTCCGTTTTGAATATTAACTGTGTTATTTTTATACACTTTTTAAGCCTTAACTCGCCATTGATTTACCAGTTTAACTTTCCTGGGGTTTCTAGTCCCACGGGGCTCTCTGCCCCACCCCCGCCCTTTGTTTGGCTTGTCTGATACTCAGTATTGTAGTTTTTCGTCCGCATGTTACTACCCTGTAAATATGCTGTTATACATACTGTTAACACCCCTTTGCTTTTTTTCTATGGGACCTCCAGGCCACCATATTTAGAATTAGTTACCTTATTAAAAAAGAGAAAACAGTCTGTTGGCTTCTCAGTCTGCATCTTGGTGGCAGGGAGGTGAGGGCAGGTGCCTCTCTAACACTTCAGGAGAGAAGTTTGCATTCTATTAAAAAGAAAAAAAGGTGGGGAGCAAAGTAAAAATCAAATGTGGGGGAAGAACACTAAAGGGGGCAAGAAACAAACACATGACAACCCCTCTGCTCTTTGTATTTCTCTGTTGTGAAGAATAAACTGTACCTGCACCCGGGTGCAGCAGTGTTGGTGTGGTGTGCTGTGTGCGGGAGCAGGGCTGGGCCGCCTTCCCACAGCGCCTGTCCCCTCCCCACTGGCTTGGGAAGGAAGGAGAGGCTGCTTGCTGTGGCACAGCCTCACCTCAGCTGTGGAGCCAAGTGCTTTGTGCTGAAGGTCGTGCTGCAGTTGAGTGGCAGGGGCACACATTTACCAGGTCTGTCTAGTTCCCATAATGCTTACCCTGCTTTTGAAGGAGCACCCTCTAGGGGGCCGTCTTGCATGACTGATTTGTAGAAGTTCTAGTGTTTGGGGCTGAGGGACAGATCCAAGAGACCTCTTTCACATGCACTTATCTCCTGAGTGGGAGTCATCGTTTTGATTGCCTGGAGAATAATGCAGACATTATTTCCTGCCTAGGTTTATCAGGGCTGTCCCTGTAGGAGCACTCTGGGAGACAGAAGTGACTCCACTTTGAGTCACCGTGAGTCATCATTGGGAACTTATTCCTCAGAGCCCTCACAGTCCTGTGTCTAGGCTTCTCTGCAAGTGACAGGAAGTCCAATCCAAATGAGAATTTACCAGCTGATGGAACAGGACTGTGGTTGAGCCATTTTCAGGGATCCAAGGGTAGGGCTCAGCCCTCTCCCTGGTTCTGTTCTGAGTCAGAGGCATTGTTGGGCTCCTGTGGGATTAACTCCAGCCTCACAGCTCCCAAGTTTCCAGCAACCATTCTCTGCCCAGCAGAAGTCTCCTTGAGTCTTCCTGGTTCCTAAATGGGATGAGGTATGGACTGGTTTGGCTTGGACATGGGGCCTGTGCTTACTGGAACAGAATGAAGACCCTATCTGTTGTGCATCTCCCCAAAGTGTGCTACCATCAGAAAAGAGAATGGGTGTGAGATAGCCCAGAACCAGCATGTTTTCAGTAGTGTCAAGGGCGTCATCTCTTTCTCTAGATTGATCTCCCATAGCCTGCTCTGCCAGGGAAAGGCTCTAGCAGCCATACTGTGTCACATGACCCTGTCCCAGTCACACCTGAATGATCAGAGATGGACCCCTAACCCAGTGACTCCAGCCAGTGGTGTCCAGGGGCTGTCCCGGCTCATGTAGAGCAGATTGTGTACACTCGCCTGTTTCCCATTGTGCATCCACTACTTGTTGGTCACTCAACATCAGCCATGATGGCATTTATTCCATAGCTAGCGGGAAACACTACCAAATCAGGAATTTTCTTTGAAGGGTCAGTTGCTAAACATTTACCAGCACACCACTGGATGAAGCTGCCTCTCTCTAGTTGAGTTCTCCACTCCATGAATCAGGGCAAAGTAGTTAGATGGTGAGCTGTGTTGAGTCAGACATATGCAGAATAAAGAGGCAAGAGCAAAAAGAAATGGACAGAAGAGAATGAAAGCTAGTGATAACCTCTGTTCCCAACTCCCAATCTTTATCCTCTGGCCATGTCTAATTTCCTTTTCTGGTGTCCATGAAATTATGTTCCTAGTGATATGACTTTGAGGTAAATTCTCTGGGCTGATTTTCTCTTAGGTAAAATGAGATAAATAACAGTAATCAATTTATGAGGTGGGTATGAAGACTGTGAATTACCACGGCTAAGGTTCAGAACTGCCTAGCACTTTAGTAAGTACCCTCCAAAATGTACATGTTGTTATTGCTAATTGCTATTTGACTAGCCCTAGTGGATTCATGTTCTTTTTGATCAGTGTCTTAGTTACTTTTCTTGTTATTGGGACAAAATTCCTGACATCCACAAGGTAAAGGAGTTTCAGCTCAGTGTTATAGAGGTTTCAGCGTATAGCTGGCTCCAAGGCAGGTTGGCATGGCAGACAGATATTGTGGAGGATAAACAGTCCTTGGCAGAACAGGCAGGAGGCAACAAAGCAGCTGTGAGCCTGCCTTTCCCTTTTATCCCATCCAGGCTTCAAGCCTTTTGGGTGGTGCCACTCACATCTAGGGTGGGACTTCGGTAAATCCACTTAGCCACACCCAGGGCTATGCTAATTCCAATCAGTGGACTAAGTTAGTATGCCCTTAATCCCAGTATCATACACTTTGGAATCTAAAACCTAGACCCAGCAAGCTTCAAAAAGCCCCATCATGAGTGCATGAGGCTTTGGGGGGACATCTAGGTATAAACCATAACAATGTTTCCCTAAGGGAGGCAAAGATGAGGAGACATTTCTGGGAATGACACTGAGCTGGCATGGAGGGTGGGGCACCTAGGATAGGAGAAGATTTTGCATGCAGCAGTGACTCTCAGCACTGAGAGTTTGTTTTTCATCTGTTCACCTGGAGGGTGTGAGTACCTTTGTGCCTATTGGCCCAGGACAGATGCTGGGAACAAGGGTGAAGACCATGGATGTGGCTGCACAGGGAGCTTTTTCTCCTTTTCAGTTTTGCCTCATACCTGACTCCCTCTATAGCCCCTGCCCCTTCCTTAGGCCTGTGGGCTCTAGAGAAGGGAGCCATTCTGTAGAGACTGATACCCTGCTCCACCTAAGCTTCCTTGACTCTTTTTCCTCCTCAGGAAGGCCTCTATCACAGCACACGCTGCCCAGAGCTTGAGACATGAACACTCCTGACGATGCCATTGTTCCCCTATCAAACAGGAAATCATTGTTCTTTGGTGAATTCCTTGCACCCCAAGAATTTGCAAGAAAAGAAGCAGGTAGAAGAGGGTAAGATGTGACTTCTGGAACATTATGGCAAAGAGGATCACTGGTGTTCCAATTTTATGTATGCAGAAACGCTGATACAACTAAGGAGCAGATTCACATCACAGACAGGTAGACAAGGGGCAGGTTCACATTTGGATTTCATTGGCTGGTGGTCAGCTTCCTATGGCCATAGGTGGAGAATAGACATTTCTCCACCGAAGGAAGGTATGTCTGGCTCATTGCCAGCAAACTAAGCTCTCCTTGGGCACAACTTGTCCATTCAGTTTCTCATTCAGACTGCAAAAGGCCTGGGTTTTGCTCACCTCGTTTAAGTAGAAGTCACTACTTTTAAAGGAATGACTCCACATATAGCACATCACTAATATCTGAACTTGTTTGTAAAAATAAGCAGATAGTAAAAACTGTCATGGTTGGGCCAGGTAAACAGCTGGAGTGGCCACCATACTTGGGAACAGTGGAGAAGGCTAAAACTACAAGGCCAGTGTGAACACTATGCAGAGAATTTAAGAAGCTCACAATGAAATCTCACTTTCTCCGAGCCCCAGTTTCAGGCAAAATATCTGGGACTTCCTGGAGGGCCCGATTACTTCTGGCTTCTACTCAGAGCCTGTGTTTTTCCTGATGGGCAAATGGGTCTGCAGGGCAGGCATGGATGAAGGAATTTATAATACACATATGGTGAGGTGGCCAGACTTTGCCCTGTCATCTGGAGGTCATAAAATATCACTTTTACAGTTATTGACTCTAATAGAAAGGCAACAAAAATAATGTCGGAACAATTTATTGTGAGATTACTCAAAAAAGGGCACAGTGGCATATGCCTGTGAACCTAGCACCTTGGGAGGTTGAGGCAGGAGGTCTGCAAGTTCAAATCCTGCCTGGGCAACTTAGTGAGACTGTATCTCAAAGTAAAAAGTAAAAAAGGACCTGAGGATGTAGCATAGTGGCAGAATGCCTCTGAGTTTGGTTCCCAGTACCAATGAAATAATAAAATTACTCAAGATAAATATATACGTTCTCCCTGCTTATGGGCAAGAGAGGTAAAAAGAGTCCACGTCAGGGATGCTTTCTGTGTTTCTCCCTCTGGTTCATGCTCCCTCCAGCAGCTGGACTGGTTCTCCATTGCTGACACCAGGATGAGTTGATGATAGTGTCTGGAAGACACATCCCTCTGTATCACGGGCTCCTGGCAGTGTCTGGAAGGCACATCCCTCTGTATCACGGGCTCCTGGCTTAAAAGAGATGAAGCTAAACTATTCAGTCAGGCCACATCAACCAAATTCAGTAAGGTCAGACGTCAAAGATCCATAGATTGCCTGCCCCGGGTCCTGTTGCTGCTGCAGTTTGACCGCCTGTGAAGGTGAGAGACAGGCATGTGGGTCCTTCCAGCCAACATTTCCTCGGCCTACAGCCTGCTGCGCAGCTTCCAGAAGGGCCTCCTTGGAACTGGTCACAGCGTCTTCCCCTCCTGTAAACCCGACTCCATGCGTCCTGGTTGACTGGGCCGGCCCCGCGATGGCGTTAGTTGCGCACCTCTGCGTACTCCTTGGGCGCCCAGAACAGGCGCGGATGGCGGATCTCCGCCCGCCTGCCAATATCCCGGCTCCAGCAAAACTCGGGCGACAGCACCTTGGCGGGCTTGTGCAGCCAGAAGAACTTGTTGAGGTGGCTCTCGTCGTGCCAGCGCGCCTCGAGGCCGCGCGCGCGGTCCAGCTGCAGGCCTCGCGCGCAGTGCGCCGTCAGCCTGCGCAGCGCCGCCACGCTGCCCCCGAACACGGCCGCGTGGTAGTAGAAGTCGCCCTCGCCGAACGCTATCGCGGCGGCCGAGCGCTCATCGCGCTCAAAGGGCAGCAGCCACCGCGGCCTGCGGTAGTGCCAGGCGTGCAGCTGTGCCACAGAGTCGGCCAGCACCTCCGGCCCGAAGGGGCCACTGAAATGCTGGTCCACGTCCATGCAGAGCACGTACTGCGCCTCGCGGCCCAGCCGCCCGCCCAGCGCCTCATGCAGCGTGCGCATGCGCGCCATCGACACATCCTGCCAGCGCCGCTCACGCATCACCGGCTCCACGCGCAGCTGGCGGCCCGGGCCCAGTGCCACGCGGGGCACCGCAGCGGGCTGCTCGGTGAACACGTAGTAGACAACGCGCTGGCCCACCATGAAGTACTGCTCGGCCGACTCCAGGAAGTGTGACAGGTACTTCTCCAGGTACCTGCCGGGTGGGCGCCCCCAAAGTTATCATGGTTGGCCACCCTTCCCCCCCCCCCTTGCCAAACCCCGCCTGCATCCGAGTCCTGCCCACACTAATCTGTGAAAGTCCAGAAACCCCAGGCAGGGCTGGGGATTTTAGCTCAGTGGCATAAGTACCTGCTTGGCAAATTGCTAGGTCGTGAGTTCAATCCCCAGTACCAAAAAAAAAAAAAACAAAACAAAAAAAAAAAAAAACAACCAGAAAACACAAACCCCAGGCAGACCTAGAACCTTTCAACCGTAGTGTGCTTACATGTTTGCCACGCTTGCCCTGAAGGGAGGAGGCGCAGTGTGCTAGGCCCTGGACATGGGCTCTCCTCTAAATGCCCCGGGCCAAGCAGTACCGAGACAGTGACTGCTGGGCCTTAAGGCGGGGCAGTGTCCGCCTCTGCCCTGCTTTGAACCTCCATGTAAGAGATTCAGGATGTGAGGAAAGCCAGGCTAGCTCCATGGAGAGGCTGGATAGAGGGAGAAGTGCCCTGCTGTTCCTCAGCATTTATTCTACCACTTGAGACTTAGACCTTTGGGAGCCAGGGAGGAGGTCTTTCTGATAAGTCTCGTCTGAATTCCTGACATTCAAAATGGTAAACTATAAAAATAATCAGTCATTTTGTGTCTGTAATGCCAGCACTCAAGAAACTGAGGCAGAAGGATCACTGGGAGTTCAAGCCCAGCCTGGGCTACAAAGTGAGCCTGAATTGTATAGTGAAACCTTATCTCAAAAACGACAAAAACAAACAAGAAAAACAAAAACTAAAAGCAAACAAAAAGAATTATCAGTCATTTTTAAATGACTGAGTTTGTAATAATTCTTGTAGGTAACCAGAGTGCTTAGAATCCTGGAAATTGTATTACTACTAGGCCTTGGGATACTAGGATGTCAAAATGTCTAATATTGTGAACATTTTTCCTGTGGTTCTAAGCCATCATGCATTATTTCATTTAAGGAGCTCTAGTTAGTTGTGCAAGCATATATACTTGCTAAATGGTAGGTATAGGATTGAACCCGGCTTGTCTTTGGAGTCTGGGTCTTACTGTGTGTCTGGTGGAACTGTGGGAAATGAGAGATCTTGGAGACCTCGGCATCGCAGGAGCTTGGAACTCAGGACTTCAGATCCTGGAATTGCAGTTCCTTGAGCCTGAAGCCTCTAGGGCTGGTTCAGGAACACTCCTTGGTGTCATTAGTGGAAGTGGGAGTACTGGGGTCCTGGGAGGGGCCAAGTGGCATAGCAGCTGTGCCCACCTATCCCTGGGCCAGCCCTTGGTCTTGTTTGTCCCCTTGCTTCTCAGTTACCCTCCTAGCTTCTTTCCCCTTCTAGAGTGTGAGGGACAGAGTTGAGGAGTTGTCTGAAGTAGCTGGTGACAAAATTCCTTTTCTAGCCTTTCAGAAGTCTTTTCTTCTGGGTAAAGAGGAAACCTTCATTACCTTCCACAGTGGGCTGTCCCAGCATTAGTAAAACGTCCTTTATTGCCCAGGACTGTACCCTCTGGGCCTTAGAGTCATAGGTCTGATCGCCACTCCTAGCCGAGCGACTGCATTGCCTCTGAAAGGTGACCACTTATCCTGGATCCTCCTCCTGTCCATGGTGGGGAAGTCAGTGCCCCTGCCACTTTTCTCGGCCCAACCTTCTTCACACCTAGAGCCCCATGCATTGCCTGGGCCTTTCAGCTTCTTACTGACCTACTCTCTTGCAGTGACTCTGTCCTCCACTCTCCTCGGTCACTTGCTTCTGTGGCCACTCACAGTGTCCCACCTTCCAGACTGCCTCACTCATACCGCTGTGTGAGCCCCTCATCCCTTCAGCACCCTTACTCTGCTCCCACACATCAGTCCTGCCTCACCAGGTCCTCCAATTCTGCCACTTGCCAGAACCCGCCTTCTTGGTTTTGTTTTGTTTTTTGTTTTTTTACCGGTACCAGGGATCGAACTCACAACCACAAGCTTGCAAGGCATACGCTTATGCTGCTGAGCTAAATCTCCAGCCCCCAGGACCTACCTTCTTTACCCAGCTCAGATTCACACCCTTGCAAACACTTTTTGCTCTGTAGTCCTTCTCCCCCCACCAGAATTCCCAGGCAGAACCTCGCCACACCCCCTCTGTGCCTGTGACTGGGTTGCTGACCTCCAGTGGGCACCGTACTGTCTTTGTTTAGCCATTTGCTCTCTCCTCTTTCTTCCTCCTCTCACCTGAGAAGCTCCATCTTTTCCTCACCACAAATCTAGTGGACCAGCCCTAGCCTCTGGGCAGATTCCTACTAGGATACAGTCCTGAGCTCCTGGATGCCTGTGCTAGGTGGGCTCTGTGGCACTGGTGTCAAGGGAGGAGGGGAAGGGAGAGGATGCTCTTGTGTTTGTTCACCTTGGGTGTCTGGGACAAGGGTTGCAGTCTCTAGCTGCACTTTGGGGTCCTGTGGAACAGGGGAACAGGCAGTCAGACATCCCTGCACACATGCATACTCTTCCCACTCCCTACGTGGAGAGTGGCGCTGCCTGCCCCAGGCCTTACCTGCCTACTGCAAAGACAGTCAGCCCAATCGTGAGGTTCTGCCGTCTAGCCTCTCGCTGGGCTACATCTGGGTTGAAGGTGCCATCCCAAATAATGGGGGCCTTCCAGGAGGTACAGGTCAGGACATTAGGCCGGTTCCTGGGCAGCGTAAGAATGCAGAGAGAGCTCTAATCATCCACCTATTCAGTGCATGCTCATTGCCAGCTCCCTAGTGCTGGACCTCGGGTACCCACAGATTCATCAAACTTCAGTCCCTGTGGTTAAAAGCCCCTAGCTCGGCACAAAGTTAGAGTTAGAGGATTAGGAGACATGTGTCCCAGTGAGGATCCTGGGGTTGATAGGTGCAGAAGCTGGCTCTGAGGGATGGGAGATGGGAGGGTAGGGACATGGGGCAGCCTCTTGAAGACTTGTGGGAGGAATGGTAGTGCCTTACCAGAGTCGAAGGACACCTGTGAAGTTGTCTCTCAGCAGGACCATTGTGGCTGAAGGGCACACACCCATGGGGATTAAGAGATCCAGATTCCTGTGGAGTGGGGCCAGCAGTAAGGGGCACACCCAGAAGAGGCAGCCCATAAAGACACTAGCCACTTACTCCACCCCTTGAGGAGGCACTTGGGAAGCTCAGTCTCAGCTGTGACCATGGTGGGGCAAGGAGGCTGTACCTGACAGGGAACCAGTACAGGAGCAGGACTAAGAGGCCAAGTGAAAGTACAGTCGTCCGCCAGAATGTTCTCCTCGCCCTGGGGAGAAAAGGCATTGGTAACTCATTTATTTATACATACATACACAATGGAGAAATCATTTGCATACTACTAGTGCCTGATGTTATTTGTTGTTTTTAAGAATGCATCCCGTTCATATGGTACAGAGATTCAAAGGGGGGAAAGATTATATACAGCAAAAAGTCTTTGCTGTTCCTCCACATGGAGGCAGCCAATGTTAGGTTTCTTATGTGTCTTCCAGAGACACATATAAATGTGGTAACAAGTACACCCTTCGTCTTTCTTTGGCTCTTCCACAGATGGCAGCATAATGGATACACCATTCTGCACCTTGCATGTTTTGCAGTGATATCTTTAAGATATCCCCACCTCAGTACTTACTCTCCTTGCCCATTTGCCCAGCTGCCTAGTATGCTACAGATTGGAGGTGGCATGATTTCCCTACCAGGGCTCAGCTGATGAACCCTGAGCTTGTCTTTAGACAGCACTGCTTCAAGGTATGACCCTGGAGTTTAGGACTCTGGGAAGCCAAGTCAGCATCTCTCCTCCCTGTAAGCGGAGGCAGGGTGGCAGCCTGCAGCCCTCCCAGGGGGAGAACTAGCAGTGTCTTCTGAGATCCACGCCATGTTGGAACTTAGGACTCTGGGAATCCAAGCCAGCACCTCCCCTCCCTGGTAAGCGGCAGTAGTTTAGCCCACTGCAGCCCTTCCAGGGGGAGAACTAGCAGTGTCTCCTGAGATCCACGCCATGTTGGAACTTAGGACTCTGGGAAGCCAAGCCAGCACCTCCCCTCCCTGGTAAGCGGCGGTAGTGTGGCCCACTGCAACCCTTCCAGGGGGAGAACTAGTAGTGTCTCCTGAGATCCACGCCAAGTTGGAACTTAGGACTCTGGGAATCCAAGCCAGCATCTCCCCTCCCTGGTAAGCGGCAGTAGTTTAGCCCACTGCAGCCCTTCCAAGGGGAGAACTAGCAGTGTCTCCTGAGATCCACACCATGTTGGAGCTTTGGACTCTGGGAAGCCAAGTCAGCATCTCCCCTCCCTGTAAGCGGAGGCAGGGTGGCAGCCTGCAGCCCTTCCAGAGGGAGAACAAGCAGTGTCTCCTGAGATCCATGCCATGCTGGAGCTTAGAACTCCTGGAAGCCAAGCCAGCACCTCCCCTCCCTGTAAGTGGAGGCAGGGTGGCAGCCTGCAGCCCTTCCAGAGGGAGAACAAGCAGTGTCTCCTGAGATCCATGCCATGCTGGAGCTTAGAACTCCTGGAAGCCAAGCCAGCACCTCCCCTCCCTGTAAGTGGAGGCAGGGTGGCAGCCTGCAGCCCTTGCAGGGGGAGAACTAGCAGTGTCTCCTGAGATCCACGCCATGTTGGAACTTAGGACTCTGGGAAGCCAAGCCAATACCTCCGGGAAAAAAAAAATCCATGTAAATTATATGTAAGTTGCAGTACACCAAAATGTAATCCACTATTCTGTGCAATTTACATGAACTTATAAAATCATTTTCAGATTCTATAAAATAAAAAAAAACTAATATGATTAATAGTATCAAGTTTGGGATTATAGGCAACTACACTGAAGCAGACAAGACCCTACGATATACATTCTGGTTTGATAACTGCCAGTTTTTGAAGTTCTATACTATATACAAAGTTGTGTTTTTATTAATACTGTTATATACTGATATATTCAGTTATACTATGTCTGATGATATAGCCAGTTCTATTGAATATAACAAGAGACAACACAGGAACTATGGTAGAAGTCCTTGCACAATGGTCTTATATGTCTTTTTTGTTTCATGTGTTTATAGGAATATGTTTTGTTCTGTCTTGCTTTGTTTCGTTTCTACCTCTAATATAGAAAGAACAGAAATACATGTTAAGACTCATGCATGTGTAGAATCTATAAACAGTTTATGAGAGCTGATCTTACGACACATGATGAAATGAACAGATACTTTGAGGAAAAAGAGTCACTAAAGAACCCAGTGCTGATTCTGGTGTGTCATAATGTGAAATCCAGCAATAGTATTATTCTCTGTTCAGAGTGATATTAGCCTGCTTGGGTTTTTTCTGTCTCAACACAATTGAAGATATGGATAACTGCATGTATGTTTAAGTGTATAGGATTGATAATCATATTTCTAAGTTTTTATTGGACAGTTGAACAGAACTGTTTGTAGTCTCACTGTTTGAATTCTCACTTTACATGTTCCATTTTTGTATCTTGAATAACTATTTGTAAAATGACAATATGTAAACATCAACCAGTGATTTCTTACTGTTTATTTTTTCTCTGAATGCATGTATTATTTCTACCTATTTTCTGTTTTGTTTAGTCTTTCTTTAAATAAAATTAAAAAAAAAAAGGTATGACCCTGGGTGGGTTTGGAGGACAGTAGCATTAGTGGGTTGGGGTACTTAGCTAGGGTGGGGGTAAGGGTGACCCTGGTCAGACCAGAAGAGGCTGCAGGGGAGTTTGGGGCTTGGGTTTGGTAGGTGAGAGTGAAGCTACCAAGAAGTAAGTTGCTGGATTGGGTATGATCAGAAACTGTGTGTCCATGTTGGCTGACGTCCAGACTAGACTGGAGTTCCTCCCACAGGGCTCAGTGGCCCCATTCCTGGCTTTGAAGGCACGTTACAGGATTTATCTATAGTAGGTTGTTTTTCAAGAATGTCCTTACATGTTGAGAGAAGCCAAAGACCACAGACACTGAGCCCAGATCCACACATCTGAATGCCAGCTCTGCCACTCCTAAGCTGTCTGACCTCAGGCAACGCCTGCATATTTGTATGTATCAGCCTCCTTATTTGTAAGATGGGTGATAAGAGTACTGTCTGCAGAAGGCTGTAAGCTGTGCGTTAACATAGTGGCTGGAGCCAGGCTTGGTACACTGTAATAACTGGCAGAAGTTAGTTGATGGTGAAGATGGTGATTCTTTTTCCTAACAGACCCTCATCATTCCCTGGCAACCTCCTAACTTGATTCTACAAACTCTGGCTCCCTCTGGTCTCTTTCAAGAAGGCTGCTGGCATCAGACCCTCTGCCTCCTGTCTTTCTTGTTTTTCCACTTCTTGGTTCCTCAGGAGATGTTCCTAGGAGCAGCCATGAGAACCATCTTGCAGTTGTGTTTGCATCTACCTGGACACCATCTCAGACCAGCCCCTCTTTCTGTCCCCTTGGCCATGCTGAGATCGGTGTGCACTAAGACCATTTGTCTGCACTCACTGTCTGCTGTCAGTCCCCATGTTGGGTCGAGTTGGCTTCCTTGGTCTCTGCCCACTTCGTGTTCCTCCCCAAAGCCTCCGTAGGGACCTTCCCTGGCACATCTGTCACCAGGACCATTGCCACAGAGCCCTCCCTATGTCCAGTCATTCCCTAAGCACCCCGAGTCAGCTCATCAACTGTGCACCCCCGTAGCAGTGTTTGTGTCACATCAACAGGTAAATACTCAAAGGAAAAATACATTTAGTAAGCAAATATATGGAAAAACATTCATCTTTCCTAGTAACCAGAGACACACAAATTAGAACAAGGTGGTAGATTTTGCCTAGAAAATCAGCACTTAAAAAAATAATGCAAATAACCAAGCTGCTAGCATACAAGGAGATAGGCTCACTGGTGAGAGTGAGAATTATGAAGGTAACTTTGGAAAGCTGAAATTGAAAGCTTTTAATATTCATCTTTGATTCAGCCCCTCCAGTCCCTGGGCATCTGTTCATATGTAATGACCTTCGGTATGGAAGGTTTATGCATCAGGATATCTGTCTGTTTCCGGTCAGCTGTGCATTCAGACACAAGGACAACATAAGTTAAGGGTTTAGAGGGGAGTGAGACAGACTGTCTTCAGGGTGTGGAACTGGAAGATGTGAGTACAGTGAGAGAAGGAGCGTCAGGAAGGATCCATGACAGACCAGAGACGACGAGTGTTGTGAGCAGGGCACACACTGGTGTTAGGAGGTAAGCTGTAGGCTGGCACCAGAGCCTGGCATACAGGAGGAGGTCAGGAAGATTCCTGGAGGAGGTAGCCGGTGAGGTAGGACCTGAAGGATTAGAAGATACGCAGGCAAAGGAGGCAGTGAGGGGAAGAGCAGCCCATGAGGTGAGTAGGTGGCGCTGCAGGGGAGGAGACAGAGTGGGTGCGGGCTGCTTCAAGCCGAGGCTACAGGAGTCAGTCAGGGCCACCGCTCCGTGGGCCATGGGGAGCCTTGGAGGGTTTCCTCCAAGGTGGGCCCCGTACGGTTTTTATTTGGAAAAAAGGAAGTACTTGTGCTGAACTATGGTGGGCTGGGAGGGAAGGTGTGGCTGGAGATGGGAAGATAAGTTAGAGTGAGGCTGCTACTGGGGGCAGGCGGTGCAGCAGGAATGTTAGGTGTTAGGACCTAACATAGGGTGGAGGACGAGGGACAGCCATGGCTCCGCCGCTGATGGAGGCATAGAGCTGCGGGGCCGGGAAAGAAGAGGGTGTCCGCTGGTCTGGTTGGGGTAGGAGTTGGAGCCCTAAGGCAGGCAGGCAGGTAGGTTAGGAGAGAGCGCTGGGATTCACTAGGAGTGCACAGGGAGCGGAGGCCAGAGCCCCGGCCCAGAGAGCTGATGAGGGCAGGAGAGAGGCTGGGTGGTAAGTGTGAGAGAAGGGCCTGGAATGTGTGTGTGTGTGTGTGTGTAACTCTTCTGAGAAGAAGATAGTTGTGTGGAAGAAAGAGATAGGATGGTAACCAGAAGGAGAAGAGGAACTAGAAATGGGTATTTGGACTCAAGAGAGGCCAGCTTGCTGACCACTGCCTGGGACATGCACAGAGAAGTGTTGGAAGTCACAGAAGCACTGTGACCTGAGCCACTCAGGTTAACTGCACAGTCTCAGTGTCCAGCCAGAGGGACCTGCTGAATAAACTTGTCGCCAGGACTTCAGAGTCACATGCAAAAATACTGACTCAGATGTGAAAGGGGAAAGGCAGGCTCGAAAAGCAGCGTGCACCATGGTGAGAATTGCAAGAGTAAAACATGCGCCAGTCAGTGAGAGGAAAACCAAAGTGTTCTAGTAGGGAGCTTTCCCTTTTATTTTTCTTTCTAGTGTCTGTAACGGACTTATATTGCTGTTTAGTGAAGGAAGTATACAAAGAAAATACTTTACAAAAAACCGCTGTTCTGTGGTGTCCTGTTGACCAGGGTCAAGTCCTCATCTCAGCGCTGGAAGGAGCCTTCTCAATCTGCTGCAGCTGCAGGGCCTGCCCCGCCCCCACACCCCTTTCCCGCCTGTAGGCATGGACATGCCAGAGTGGACTGTCCACCATGCTCTTGTAGCACTGTTGAAAAAGGTAAGGGAATATAAACAACCTCAGTGTTCCCTTACTCAGTGTATTCCGGATGTCTGTACAGCACAGGTCAACACGGCCACTAAGGGTGATGTATGTACTTGTAGATGCGTCAGAGCACCCCGAAGAGGGTTTGAAGTGGAGAAGGAGTAACAGCCCAGTAGAGACAGAGGTCCTGCCTGTGAGGGGAAGCTCTGAACCTGTGTCCATGCTTTGATGCTCTCAAGGCATGCATATCCACGCCCTGTAAGTGTGTGCTCAAACATCAGCCACCTAGGTAATTTAAGATTTTGTATTAGCCGTATTAACATGTTCCTGCTGGCTGGAAGCACTGGGAGTACAAACAGATCTAATCACTTTTATTGGTCTTTTTACTAATAAGTTTAATCAAAGATGCCTGGAGGTAAGACATATGAATTATATCAGAGCCACTTGGCTATGAGACATATGGATTATGGCCCCATTATTAATATGTTTAAAAAGTGAAAAGGAATAGTGGGAGTAATCTTAATTATTTTTTTGGGCAGTACTGGCGATTGAACTCAGAGCCTTCACACCAAGCTATATCCCCCCGCCCCTTTTAGATTTTGGTTTTGGGACAGGGTTTTACTAAATTGCACCAAACCACTAAATTGCACAGACTGGGCTCACGCTTGAGCTTCTCCTGCCTTAAACCTCTCAGAGTGCTGGGATTCTAAGTGTGTCTCCCTCCTACCACCGCCGTGTTAACCCCCATAGCCAACATGGCGCATCCCTGTCCACACCCGTCATCCCCGCTCTCCTATCATGTTCCTTCTGCTAACTCACTGTGTCCCTTCCCTCATGTCCGTCATGCTGCGTGCCCAGCTGTCCACATCCCGTGCCCTGGCGGAGCCTCTTGGCTTTGCCAGCCTTCCTGCTTCTGCTCTGTCCCCTACCCTCATCCATCCATACACCACACACCTCTCTTCCTCAGCTCCTTCTGATGACTTCTCACTGCTCTTACAGTGGGCGCCGTGCTTGTTACTCTGGCCCCTGCCCATCTCTCCAGTCCTGTCCTGTCCTGTCCTGTCGCTCTGGTCCTTGTCACCCAGCCCTTCAGCGCTGCCTGTTTGCTGGAGCTCAGTTCTCTGACGCTCCTCTTTCACCGTCAGCTTTTCTGCTGGCGACCCCAGTCCAGCCTCTTGCTGAACACTGGCCTCAGGCGTCATGTGTTCCCTAGAGGGCTGTGTCCACCTGGGTGTCGCACAGCTGCCTCAAACTGAGAGGCTCTCAGGCTGCAGTTGGCATTTTCCCCAAACCTGTCCCATGGCGTGGAGCGGGCAGCCTTCTCCCTCAGCCGCGGTGGCTTAGTCATCCGTTTCTGTTGCTTCTGCCTCCTTTCTAGCCCTGAGCCTCCCTGCTCTCCAGTCCCACTGTTAGTCACTCACTGTCCCTCATCTGGATTTGGGTAACAGCTTCCTAACCTGCCCCCTACTCTCAATTCCGTCTGTCTGTCTGTGTTTTTTTTTTTTTTTTTGAGACAGGGTCTTGCTATGCGTTTCAGGCTGGCCTTGAACTCACTATGTAGGCCAGGCTGGTGTCAAACTTTTGGGGATCTTTTTGCCTCAGCCTCCCATGTGCTGGAATTACAGGCAGGCACCATCATACCTGGCTTTCTTAATTAAGTTGATTGGTATAATCTAGATGCACATAGTGATCACATTCATCACAGGGAGCTTATACCTGTACATGGATTTTTTTTTTTTATGGAAAAAATGTAAAACAAAATTTCACAACAAAATAATAGAATAACAATAGTTAATACATAACATGTTATTTTCCTTACTGTTCTTTTCCCCTTTCACTCATCCTAGTTCCTTTTACCTCCTGAACAACTTCTCCCCATTTCATAGTATCTGTTGTATTTTAGACTTTACTCTTTCAGTTTCTCACTATACGTGGGATAGCAATTCCTGCTTTTTCCCTTCTCTTACCTCCCCCATCCTCCTTTCCCCCTTCTTACAAAGCTTTATTTCCTTTTTACCCTTTCCTCATTTTTTCCATCCTTCATATCTCCCTTCCCTCTCCCTAGTACCTTCCCTTTTGAACAATTTCTTCTGTTTCACAGTATGTATCTTACATTTTGGTTCTTTACATTTTCAGTTTCTCACACCAGAGACAATAGGATATTTATTTACATGTGTTTGATTTATTTTAAATGAAAATGGTCTCACGGTCCATCCATTTAGCTATAAATGTGCTTATCCTTCTTTATGACTGAGTAGTACTCCATTGTAGGAAAAAACCTGCATCTTTTTAAAATCCATCCATTGGTTCTGTCACAGTTTATGTCTGTGGCCCCCAGGCCTCATGAGTTTGCATTGTACATTTGTGATGGTTTATTGTCTAGTGCTTGGATTGATGCTGTCAGTGCTACACTCACATAGAAGTGGAGCCAGGATATAATGTAATGGCAGGAAGAAGGTGTGTCTTGCTCTTTGCTGGTTTTTGTTTGCTGTTTGCAGCCACCATGAACTGCGGTCCAGCCATGCCCACCTGCCTGCCTTGGAGCCAACTGAGTGTGGACTAAAACCTACAAAAACTGTAAGAAATAAATCTTTCCTTTCCCAACCTGGGCTCCAGGTATTTTGTCTCAGCAACAAGTAGAAAGTAGATAAGACAAGTTCCCAGTCTCAATTCTGCATCCTCTATCATGTCACTTAAGCTTTCCATGACTTTGAGTCTCCCCCACCTTTGTTTAGGTCATTTTTCCCATCCTCTGATCATTCCTTAATCTCCATTTTCCTCCTCTGTGAAGCTTTCTCTGAAGTCTTGCCACTACACTGTGTCCCCAAAATTTTTTTCTGAACCTTTGCCAAACCCCTCTCTAGCCCTTGTCAAACAATGAGTTGACTGCCGGTCTGGGCTGTGAGTTTCTGTTTAATGAGACTTTGTCCCTGTGCTGCCAGACCCCAAAACCTGCCCCGTAACTGGTGGTACTGATAATCATCTGTTTGATAAACAAAGAAGTGAATGGAATGGTCTGACTTCACTGTTTCCCAAAGTCTCAAATTCTTATTTTTGCTTAAAACTCCATTTTCTCCAAGATTTGGACCTTTAATCCGACACTGAATTGAACCAAACCCCCTGCCTGTCCCTGCTGAAACCTGACCACAGTCCCTAGGAGGAGGCTGGAATGGTCTCCACCTTGTGAGTCAGGAGACTAAGGTCACCTGCACAGGGTTTCCAGGATGGTGGAGGGTGTGTTCAGCCTTGAGTTTAGGTGTCTAACTCTAAGCAGGGTCTCTGATGTGCCATTTGGGTACTTACGGCCTGGTCCCCGCCCAATGCTGGGTTCCTGACTGCTCCCAAGTTTCTTGCAGCCCACTACAAACTCCATGGGCAGTGGCTGTGCTCTTTTGGTTTACAGAAGCTAGTCTGAGCTGGCAGCTGAAAAGACTGGCTGTGGTTCGGGATAGAAAAAAGCTAGCTGCTTCTTTCTGCACTTATTGGCTGTGTTTTTTCAGTCAGTAACCCTCTACCCCACTAGGGCAGGCAGGTGACATTTATCTTGGGCACTGGGCCTTCGCCAGGGCAGCCAGGCAGAACGGACATTAGACCTTTGCCAGGGCAGATAGGCAGAGCTGCCTCTGAGTGGCCGAGGTGAGCTCAGTCAGGTGAGGAAGGGAGCTGGGTCCCAGGCCAGAGTAGGTCCCATGCCAGCTCCTTCCACACATCCCACATCCCACCCAGAATTCTCATCCATGGAGGTGCCTGGCTGACCCACTCCCCAACATCCTTGGTCCAATACTTTTAAAAGGGATTAAGTTCTACTTGTTGCCTTGACAAAATACCTGCCAGGGATTTAGTTCAGTGTGTTAGTGCCTACCCGGCAAGCGTTGGGTCATGAATTCAATCCCTGGTACAAAAAAAAAAAAAAAAAAAAAAAAAAAAAACCTGTCTGCCAGTTCCACCTGCAGCACGTGTTCAAGCCTTGTACTCTGCTCCCTTTCTTTGCTTTCATGAAAGGGTACAGATCATGAAAGGGCACAACTTAGTTTTCAAGAGGCAGGTTCGTAGTCCTGGATAATCAGTATCATGGGACAAAGCTCAGTATGGGAGCACGGGGTACATGCGCTGGGTCTTTGCTCTCTGCCTTACCAAGGCAGTCTATCTCTTCACTGGCTATAGAACCTACCAGGTTCCCATCCATCTCATGGGCCATCTCTCTGTCATCTTTCCCAGGACATACAGCTCTGCTGGTTTTTGGTGGTCTAGTTTTGATGCTTTCCCCTTAACTGTTGGGGCCACCAAGATAAGACCTTTCTTAGATCAGCTCTCTTTCTCCTCCTCTCCATCCTCTCCCCTGGCAGTGCCCCTACTCACCTGAGTCCCTCGAGGGCCATAGGAAGCAGCCAATGGAACAGCCTTCTACAAATTCTACTGAACAAAGAAAAATGCTTTCTCTGCTGTCAGCAAAGAAATAACTGTTTCCAGTGGTGGTGACTGGAACAAAGCAGCTCCTTCCTGCCCCTCACTTCAGGAACCACATCCACATAAACAAGCAGAAGTGGACTGCCCAGCAAGGCACCTGCAGGGGGCGGAGCCTCCTGGAGGAAGCTGACCCTCCTTGGCCAATCAGCAGGAGGAAGTGGGTCTGAGCTGGCCAGGTTTGTATTTAACTTCTCTTATCTTTCCAGTGGCCACTGAGCTCCAGTTCAGTCATTTCAGAAAGTCCTCAGGCTAGAGTGTGTGTCAGGGAAAGTCCTGTTCCACAGAGCCCCAGGGGGAGCTGAAGAGCACTGGATGGACACTGCAGCCTTGGGCAGTTCACTCCTCAGTAAAGTAGGGTACACACTGTAGGACAAGTGAGCTGGATAAGATCAGGGCTGTGGAAATTTTGTGAAGCTCACACTGGGCAAGTTTCTTAAAGGTGCAAATGGCAGCTGGGCATGGTGGTGCATTCCTGTGATCCCAGTACTAGGGAGGCTACGGCAGGAGGACTGATGTAGAGTTTGAGGTCAGCCTGAATTAATAGTGAGATCCTGTCTCAGAAAACAAAAACCACAAAAACGTGCAAGTGGTATCCCACCAGAGTCAAGAAGTTTAGTGGACCATGATCAAGACCTTGAAAGTAGGAAAAGGCAAAGAACCGATCTATACCCAGGGGTAGTGCATGCATGAAATGTTGTATGGACCAAAGGTGGGAAATACTTTGTAAAACTGAGTCATGATCAAGGGTTTGTAAACTTCCATGGAAGAGTAAACAAACAAACAAACAAAAAAAAACAAATGCGTATTTAAAGACAGGCCCTTCAAACTTGCAGTAGGTTGGGGCCTGTCACCCAAAGCAGGAAAAAAACCCCGAGTACTTACTGTGCAAGTCAGCCCCTCATATTCACTGTGTTAATAGTCATGGTTTCCTCCCTCTCTGTCACACACTTAGAAACAAAACTTGGGTGGGGCCTGGTTTCCATTTTTCCCAGTTAAGGAGGCTTCGACCTAGATGAGATCTGCCCAAAGTGCTGTGCGATCAGTGTGTTCCTACATTCCTTTTTGAAAAGGAAAGCCAAAGAGAATGATGCCCTTGCTGCCACCAGGTCAGCTCCTAGGGCTCTCTAGTCTACAGTCTCCCCAAAGCCTGCCTGGGCCCTCCCACTTTCCCAGGGTTCCCTGCTTGCCAGGGAACACCTTGCTTGCCAGGCCGTGGTCCCCTTGGGTATAGATCAGTTAGTTTCTCCTCCTCTCAGTGGTAGTTGCATTTTAACAGGTTCTTTAGAAAGGAGTTACCAAGATCTAGGTACTGGTTCTCAAAAATTATGCCTAATCTTTCTTTTGAGGTTCCGGTCCAGTACAGGTGGGGTGAGGTAGAGAAACATTTTTTTTTTTTTTTTGTCTTTTTGAGACAGGGTCTCCCTATGCAGTTCAGGTTGGCCTTGAGCTCACTTTGTAGCCCAGGCTGGTCTCACACTCGCAGCGATCTTCCTGCCTCAGCCTGCCGAGTGCTGGGATTACAGGCGTGAGCTACCACGCTTGGCTTAAGAAACCCACATTCTTGACAGTTGCCTTAAAAACCTAGGCAAGTGAGGCAGGTGCTTTCCTCTCTGTCCTGTCCTGGAGATTTGCTTCACACCAGAGGACATGCTCATCTTTGGCAGTGTCTGGCCCAAGTACACAGCCTCCCTGGTCACTGCTGACCACAACTCACAGCTCATCCAGCCCAGCCAGCTGGGGCCCACTTAGCTGCACTTCTGTGTCCGTGCTTGCCCTTGCCATACTGCTTTGGCCTGAGATGCCCTTCTTTCTCCTTTATGTAAGGCTGTCACCTCCTGTTCTAATCCTAAAAAACGCCTGGAAAATCCAGAGACGTAAACCCATCCCAGGGGCTCTTCTGGACACTGGTAGCTCCCCCCAAAGGCATCTGTTGGAGGGTGGTAGAATCTGGCCCAGGTGTTCCCTACCAGACGGGAATGGTGAGAGATGGGAATGTTGAGGAGGTGCTCTGGACCTTCTCTAAGGGGCATGGCGGGGCTGGGATACTTCCAGTGATCCTGCTGCCAACTGTGGTGGACACAATGCATTGCCAGGTAAGGTAGCCATGCCTTGTTTTTACAGGTAGAAAGTAGCCATGTGGAAAAACAGGCATATCTACAGGAGAAAGACACAGAAGAGGCAGATTTTACAGATTTATTTAAAAAAAAAAAAAAGGTTAAAAAAAGTCCTTCATTTCCAATCCTGCCTGGGGGTGTGGGTGGGGAATAAAACAAGCTGAGAACGATGCCCACCCCTTCCAGGAAGAGTCCAACTCGACCCTTGGAGGCTGGAGGACAGGACAAGAGAAAGGCAGCTTTTGCTCTCCTGCCCAGCCTCCTCCTCAGCCAGCGTTACTGCTGCTAGGAAGTTTTACAAGCAGAGAAATGTGGGAGTGGGAGGTCAAAGGCTGTCTTCTTCACACATCCTACCTCTGGCTGTTCTCTCCCCTCAGTTCTTGGGTCCCACCTTGGGAGTTCCAGGGGGAGCAGGCAGGCTGTCCAGGAGGCTCCGCCTGGCTCGGCCCCTGGGCTACATGGCCCAGCCACCCCACTAGCAGCTTCCTTGATGCTGCTTGTGAGACAGCAGGGCAGTCAGGGACATCACAGTGTGGGGAGGAGCTTCAGAGACCTCTTGACATGTCTGGAGAGGAAATCTAATCCCCACAGCGGCTGCCCTTCTTTTCTATTCCCCATCCTCAGGCCGAGTGGAGTCCAGGACAAAGCACTAAGTGGCCATTTGCTACAAACACCTGGAGATGCCACAGGGCAGCTCACGGCCTGCCAGTCAGGCTCCCACACAGTCACACAGTCACACACACAGCGTTAAGGCGTCTATGCCAGCAGGCATGGCCAAACTGGGCCCAGCTTCTCTCCCCACCTGCACAGGATATAAGGGGAGAACCACCCCGTTGCTGCCAAAACAGGATGGAGGGTAAGAAGCTGGCAACGGAAGGTTAACCAGGCCTGGAGAAGGAGGTGGAAAGAAGGAAGGCAAGGGCTTTCACGGCCTCTACCCAGGCCTGCTGGCTGCCCTTGGAATTAACCCAACTCATGTTGGGGAGCCCTGACCATAAACCCCCTGGAAAATGGGGGACAGAGAGAGGGGAAGAGAGCGGGGCTAGAGTATTGGGACTTTGGAGGAAGCCAGTGCTATCAATATTTACAAGCATAAAGCCCCATCTTCTACGCCCCCTGCCTCTCTGCCCCCCCCACAAAGAAATGAAAGGCCCCTGAGAGCCATTGAGGAGGTACCCAGACCTCCTCACCAGCCATGCCCCTACAGAGAGGCCCTTCTCACTGACTGGCCCCATCTCTGGGCCCCTCAGGAATGTCTATCTGGCTGTGCCCAGTTGGGAGCCCTGGGCCCCGACTGGCTGCCCTGCCAGCCCTAGGAGTCCTTTAGCATGCTGATGCGGGCATAGATCTTCAGGGCAGGCCCCAGCTTGATGTTCATGGCACTCATCAGGTGGTCCTCCTTGAGCAGCAGCAGGGCTTGTCCATCAATCTCCTGGGCACGAAATTCCTCTGCGATCTCCTGGCATCCTGGGGGTGCCACCAAAGACAGCATCAGTTAAAGTGACAGCATTCACTTTACCCCATAGTGTGTGAGGTCTATCACTGAGGGCCATCTCATCCTGTAGCTTATGAGCGGCCCAGTGACTCAGCCACGCAAGTCCTGATCCATGCTCCCTCACTCATGTCCTTGTCAGACCTCCTCCTCCTCAAACTGCGCTACCCAGGTGGCCAACAGGGTGGTATGGATCTGCTGAGCCAGGATCTCACACTGCCAGAATCACACACACAACAGTGTGTGATTTCTGAGGTTGGATCATAAAAGGTACAGTGGCTTTCACCTTTTAGGTTATTTTGGAGTAAGCTGACCATCCTGTCACGAGACTCCCCTCTCTGGAGAAGTTCACATGGAGAGCAACTGAGATACCTTACCAAGAGCCAGCCCTACTTGCCATTGAGCTCCAAAACCTTTAGATGACTGTAGTCCTGGTTGGTGTCCCTGAGACCTTGTATGAATCCCTAAACCAGAGTTGCCCAGCTGAACCACTCCAGTTTCTTCCCTCATAGACCCTTAAGATAAGTAGTTACTGTTTAAAGCCACTAAATTTTAGAGTAATCTATATCACAGTAAATAACTAAAAGAAATGTTGATATCTGAAATAGGGGTGCTGTCACTAAAAAAAAACTAAATACATGGGCATGGTCTTGGATCTGCAGTGGGCAGCAGTTGGGTGGGTGTTAAGGAGTCACAGTGAACAGCTAAGGTGCTTTGACATTATCAGCAAAAGCCTGACAGCTTCTGAAGAAGTGGCTGGGAAGCTTAAAGGAAATTAAAGAAAACGCTGTTGATGATTAGAAGGGACAGAAATTTCAACTTTACCTTGTTAAACAGAAAATTTAGCAACTTTGTTGATGATATGCTAAAGTTAAATTTACACAAGGAACTGAGTGAACTAGTTGAGAGGTTTTTTTTTTTTGCAGACATGGTCTTGCTATGCAGTTCAGGCTGGCCTGGACTCACTATGTAACCTAGGCTGGCCTAGAACTTGCAGCAGTCTTCCTGCCTCAGCTTCTTGAGTGCTGGGATTATAGGTGTGTGCCACCATGTCTGGCTCTATCTGGTTGAGATGATTTTCAAGCAGAATGCTGAAGGCATTGCCTAGCTTCTTGCTGCTCGTCATAGTAAAAAAGGAAGAACAGGGCATAATGGCATAGGCTTACAGTCCCAGCACTCAGGAGGCTGAGGCTAAAGGGTCACAGTGTGTTCAAGGACAGCCTGGGCTACATAATGAATTAAAGGCCAACTTATACTGCAGTGTGAGATCCTAGCTCAAAAAATGCTAAGTAAAAAAGGGAAAAGAAAGAAAGTAAAGGAAAAGCTATTTAACACAAGGGAGCCAGCATTTCCTGGCTCTGGCTGCCCTGCTTCTCCAGATGAAATAGTGTCTAGCCCAAGGGCTAACCAAGGGAAAAGTAATAATCTTCGGTTTTTACGTCTGTCTTGACAGACTTCCTACATTTCTGACTCCCCTCACAGCCTGCCTACCTTAAGAGACAAAGTTGATTTCATTACCACCGCCGCGTTTCATACAGATCACCTACCAACGGTATTCAGAATTAAAGCTGTGGATACCACTTCAGAAGCCTCATGGTCAGTAATCTTTGCACCCTAGTTCCTGAGCCACTAACTGAACTACCTGATGGTACCTGGTAGAGGGAGGTGAGGTCTCCCTCCCTCCCATTCCTTGCTACCCCACGCAGGCCTGGAATTTCCAAGGCCTTACCTGGCAGAGAACGGATGAATTCATAGACATCTTCTACGTTCCACTTGGTGGGCTCACTTGGGAGGAAGTGGTGTCCCATGCCTACCAGATCCCGCATGTGCATGTCAGGGAGCTCCAGGTCCCTCTGGCCTTGTCGCCGGCGGGAGGTGGAAGAGCTGGCTGAGATGGGTGACAGGGGTTCCTCATAGCTTGAGTTATCTGAGCAACGGCTGGAGTCTTCCTGGCTGTGCGTCAGCTGTAATGCAGCAGTAACTGAAAGGGGTACAGTGCCTGTTGGCTGGGGACAGAGAGAAATAGCTTTCTTCAGAATGGGGAACAGGGCCAGGGATTTAGCTCAGTGATATCAGTGGCTGCCTGGCAAGCACAAAGTCGTGAGTTCAATCCCTGGTACCAAAAGAAAAAAACAATGGGGGAACGAACTATTTCTAGTAGCAGCAATGAGTGAAGGCAGATGTGTTTCCCTTTTCTGCTTGGTCCAGTACTACATCTTAGACATTCCTGAATCAAAGAGCATCTTCTGTGCTGTACTGTTTCTGGCTCTGAACTGTCAGCCTTTTCCAGAACTGTCATGCCTACCACACTGGACTACTGTACAATGATCTGATTTTATGTTTACCTTTCTTTTAGATGTGACATTTTAAACAAGGGCTCTATGTGAAATAGTAAGGCCCTGTCTCAAAATTAAAGTTTTAAAAAATAGGGCTGAGGGTATATAGCTCAGAGGTAGATGACTTGCCCAGCACATATACATCCCTAGGCCCAGTCCCCAGTACCACAAACAAAACACAATTAAACTAAACTAGGCTATGATTTCCTCTAAGAATAATATTTAGACTATGTTTTTAGAACTTCAGTGCCTAACAGAGTTCCTGGCATAGAGCTGGTGCTGAAAAAATACTGAGCATATGAAGGAACAAAGCCTAGACTCTGCCGGCCTCTCACCTGTTTCTTGGTATCCTTGCTAAGTGTTGGCAGACTGGCTTTGCTGGCCCGGCGGCGGTTGTGGGTTGTGGCCCCTGCCTTCTGTAGCTTGCTGCGGTCTGAGTGGAAAAGTCCCACTCGCTTGGTACATCCCACATTATATCTGTCAGGAGACACAGGTAAAGTTAGCAGCTGGAGGGCTCCTAAGCCCCAGGCAGAAGGAAAGCAGCCAAGTTGTCTAACAAAATCTGAGTCCATCTATTGGTTCAAATCCTGACTCCATCATTCACTGTTGGCTGTGCAACTCTGGGCAACCACTTAAGCTCTGGGCCTTACTAAGAGTTGGGGAGACACTATTTGCCTTGTGAAACAGGTCTCACAATGACCTGAAATAATGCTGATGACACATTTTGTGTGTGTGTGTGTGTGTGTGTGTGTGTGTGTGTATGTGTGTGTGTGTTTTTTTGAGATGGGATCTCGCTATGCAGTTCAGGCTGGCCTTGAGCTCACTTTGTAGCCCAGGCTGGTCTCGAACTCATAACGATCCTCCCACCTCAGCCTCCTGAGTGCTGGGATTACAGGCGTGAGCTTGATGACACATTTAACACAAAAACTTGCAGCATGGCTGACTCTTGGCTGACATACTCTAAGTACTAACTTAGAGTTAATCAGTACTGTTAGCTGTCTTGCTGGAAAGTGGACAGGCAAAGCTTAATCAAGGGGCCCTAGTGGCTTGCAACAAATAGCCAGATGACAGTGAGGCTGAGGCCAGTGATTCTTCCTGAGCATGCAGAGAACTGCTGCCTGGACCTAGAAATTTCTTCTCTTTTAGGAGCTCAGGACTTCAAGATCAGTTACTTATTCCACTTGGTAAAAAGACTTCATTGTGTGTAAAGTTCCTTGTGACAGTGGCTGCTCAGGTCTACTTGTGGGGCAAAGATGGTAACTCAGAGAAGCCATAATATCTTTAAGGTGGGATGTTTTGCCAGCTTGAGCAGAGATGGGCTTTATGAGAAAAACAAGGAGGCTCCCTACGGGACAGTCAGGTAGAAGTTAATAATTCAGCCATCACTGTGCCTTGCTAATCTGAAACAACATCTGCGCTCAGCAGAAAGCCGTGCCCTTTGTTGTTGCTCAGTAAACCTGGGACTCTAAATGAGTTCAGGACTTCATTTCAGTGGAATCCCAACCCTCCACAAAGATGCTGTCTCCTGTGCTCATTTGTCTATCAGGGTTTGCTGGCCCAAATCTGACAGCACAGGACTTTAGAATCAAATGATTCTAAATCCCTAAGTCTGTGATTTATTAACTTTGTCATTTTAGGGACAACTACTTTGTGGCTTAGATTTCCATCACATATTACTGTTGGACAATAACAACTGCCTTGCTGCGTTACTGTGAAATGAGACACTGCACATAAACTGACATGCAGCACATGGCAGGTTCTCAATAAATGACAGCAGTTTTTATTATAACCATCAGTCTTCTAAGGTGGATGAAAGCTCACCTTGAGAAGACTATAACTTGTGCTGCAGTTCTAGGCAAAGCTTCTGTTGGAGAGCTGACTGTAAAGTTAGCTGCTGAGGGGAGGCAAGGAGAATGGGTGCCAGTGGGACCCAGTAGGCCAGCCCAGTTCATGGGCTGCTTCCTTTCCTCAGCTCTGCTGCTCTCTCTATCTATTCCTATGGGTTTTGGTTTTATAGACCCAGTGCATCAGGGATACACAACTGTATCCAGGCAGCTCAAGGAAACAGGATGCTCGATAAGCCACACCTCTGGTTCTGGGGTAGATGATTACCAGAAGGAGAAAGAACATATAATCAGGATTCTAAGGTACAGTTCTGAGGTAAGGGAAGGTTGGACAAGGCAGAAAGCTGAAGCCACTTACCTTTTTGCACAAGCCATGGAACAGAAGCGTTTGGACCGCTTGAACTTGTAGGCAAAGTCCACCCGGCCACAGAGCTCACATTTGAGTTTGAGGGGAGTACCTTCCTCTTTGGATTCTGGAAAATACGGGAATGGGTAAGTGTAGAGAAGAATAAATTCCTGTAGGCCTGCAAATAGCCCCACTACAGGGCTTCCCTGCTCTACCTTGCCTCTGTATGTCTCTATGGATATGACAATACAGCTTAGAAATGCCAAGAACATTTCATCACTGCTTTTGAAAATGCTCTGTCTGCCCACTGGAAAGTTCCCAATAATGTCTTATAATAACTCTTATAAACCTGGTGTTTTTTTTTCAGGTCCTGTAATCCTGAGGCATAACACAGACAGGGCAGAATCAGCAGCCTTCATAACCGTTGAAGGAAGGAAATCCTCTGGGTACTGTCATGACTGGCAGTCTGGGATTATCCCATCCTACTCTGATTCATCTAGCTGGCTGCAGGCCTGGGCCAGAGAACCCTGCACAATTCCCCAGCAGTTAGTGTGCAAAATATGGTCCTTGCTTGGCCACTGCTATGCCTCAGAGCTGAGCCCATCTGAATGCAGCCTTCTGAGGCAGTAAAAGGAAGACATGCTGGCCTGGTGCAGCCTTGTATTCATTTCTCGAATGTCCTAATGGTTTCCAAAGAAAGTACAACTCTTGAAATCCTGTGATTGGCTGGAAAAGCAGGGATAAATGGTTCACCATTTTTCCTGTCTCTTTTCTCTAGGAACAGAGGAGGTACTGGGGGAGAAGTTCCTTTGATGGAAATGTTTCTCAGTCCTTGTTCCTCCACAGACACTGAGAAGGGGAAGGTCTGAGGCCTGCTGTCCTGGCAACTGGAAGGCCTTCAGATAGGCCTGAGGCACCTACCTTGCAGGTAGGGCTCCTCCATCTCTGAGTCAGTGGTGGTGGTATGATCCTGCTGTGGAAGTTTCTCAGGCAAGAACCCCTGTACATACTTCTTTTTGAGATTCCCCACCAGCAAGGACGAGCGTCCCACCTACAGGACAGGTGACAAGGAGACCACAAGGGTTAGGTGGAATAGCTCCCTTGCAATGCAGCCTCATCACAATTACATGTATAAAGTATGCAGGCAGATGCCAGCCCTCCTCAACACCTCCCCCCACCGAGTTTTCATTCACGGTACCCTTCTCAATGCCTTATCTAGCTCATGAGGAAAGAAGCAATGGACACCAAAGTACAGGAATGGCTTTGGTCTGTATCTAGTGGATGGCTTGGGAGGCCAGAACGATTCGCTTTTTCCGGGTGTCTCAGGGCAGAGACAGAGCAGATCAGGTTTCCTAGAGTGCCAGACCAAGTGCCAGGCCCTGAGGTAGCACTGAGTCTGTGTGTAAGTGTACTTATGAAGGAGACACTCAGCACCCCTCTTTGGATTTCTTACTGTTCTCCACCATACCATACCATTGCCCCACTGAAGCCAGAGGTACAGGCAGCCACAAAGGAGAGCCAGAAACAAACAAACCTGGGCTACTGAGCAAGTGCTCTGTGGTTGTCAGGATCCCAGATTTGCTTATTCACTTTACTCATCCTCCCTTTGTGGCCTTTGTTCAGGCAGCGTAGTGGCCACATCACTTGATGTCTGACTCCAGGACAGTGCTGGCATGCCGTTCATTTTGAATCTACCCTGTGAGCCCCGCTGGTTTCTAGAGTTACTCCAGGAGGTAAGGAGAGGACCTGGTCTAGTAAGGGAAGAAACGCAGCAGGACTAGGATTATTTACAGCTAGGTATCCCTGCTGGATTTGCTACTGGCCTTGGAGAATCTCCAGAGGGAAAGAGGACAAGAACCTACTTGTGTCTGGCATTTCTGAAGGGCCAGTCACCCATCTTAGTTAATCAGGTCTTCTGCTGACTCATCAAACCACTAAAGAACCACCATGGATTCAAAGAATGAGCAGTGAGCAGGTGGCAGCCTGAAGAGATCATGGCTACCAGAAGACAGGCCAGCATATACCTGGCTATAGGCTTTGGACACCTGCGGAGCAGTACCACAGCCACCACAATCAGTTCGGGGGGCTTTGTGCATATAAAACATCTTCATGATCCTTTTATGTTTTCTTTAAGTCAGGTTCTCATTGAAGATTCCAGATCATATATTTTCTAAGGACCTCTCAATTTCGTTACTTCTTTTTTAAGGCTCTGCCCCCAGAAAACAGATTAAGGGTTGTGATCCTGCTCCCTCATTTTCATTTCCCATGTCTTTAAAAAAACTGTACTAATATGCAGGTTCCTTGTGTTCTAGAACTGGCCAAAGTTTTGTCACTGAGAGGTTTTAGCATTTGAAGCTACATTAGGTCTAGTTTCTCCAAATTCATTATTTTCTGAATACCGCACAGTGCACTAACTCTGTTCTAACAAAGGATCACAGGTTACTAAGCAAGGACACACTAAAACTGTGTGCAGAAACTCCTAATCAAGGTTCTTGCCAGTTATTTCTGATAACTGAGAGCTTCTAAACTTGGCAAGATACTCAATCTTAGGGAAAAAGTAGTACTGACATTTTTGCGGGGGCTAGCAAGGAAAGCAAATTGTCCACATTTTCAGAAACTGTACATGGAAATGCAAAAATATTCTAATACACATCCAAAATATACTTAAAACAAAACAAAACAAAACAAAAAAAGGGGAAAAGAAGTAGTCCGTACCGGGAAAGGCTCCGCCCCCTCCTGGATCACAAACCCTTCGATAACATGCGTCAGGATTTGGGGTTTCACAATGGCCTGTGGTGGTTTATTCTCACCATTCTGGGGGGCAGTGCCGGTGATGCTGGAGGCAGAATTTCCGTTCCCTGAGGTCATGCCGGGGCTGCTGAGGTCGGTCAGTGCATGAACAATGCCCTGCCCTGTCTCTGCACAAGGGAGAATAAGAAAACAAAGCAGTGGAAATCAAAATAGAGGCTGGGCCTGAAGAAGGGGCATCAAGGACTCAAAATGCTCCTGGCTTTTCTGTGCCACTGAGTGACAGTGCCAGCCAAGCTCTCTCACTGACCTATTTAAAAGCGGTACAGTTTCAGTGCATACACCACCAAATATGAGTGTAATCACTTCTGCAGTAACACAGCTAATCAGCTAACAGTGTTTTTTTAATTTCCCAGCAGTGCTGAGAACAGTTTAACCAGGTTAAATAGGTAAGAATTCTGTCTTTGATGAGGTAACAACTTGGGCAATATTGATTTGAATAAAGTAACATTCAGCTTGAAGGAGAAAATTAGTATTCAAGGTGACATCTAAAAAAGGATGCTAAAGTATGTGTAGGGTTTGGATTGTAATGGAGTTTGGCAAACAGAGGTTAAGAGAACCTTCTGTGAGTTTCCTTGGAAGGTGAAATATCAAAGCACTAAATCCAAGAAATTATTACCAAGGTTAATTGGGGGTTGAGCCATCAGTGGACATGATTGTGTGAATAAGGACTATTTTAGAGACTGGTTACTTAGGGTCACTGCATTAAGACATGCATATAGTCTTTTCTACCACGGAAACTGTTGAGTAGAGCCACAATTTTCTATGCTGCTTCTGCTGGCCCCTGCTCTTAATTAAACTCCTAGCCTAGTATACATCACCATAATTTCATTTCCTCCTAATTAGTTGGACCTTCAGCAAATCATAGACCTTCCCTCCATCTGTGAACAGCCTTTGCTAAGTTCTCCATGGGGTTGCTAGGCTTCCTGTAAGAGCTAATACAGTGTCCCCAAAAAATCTGACAGGGGGCTTTCTGTAGTTTACCACAGCAGACCTCCTCTCTTTCATTTCCAACAGCATCTCTCCTGAGCTGTTGGGATTACAGGCAAGTGCCCCCACATCTGGCTGAAGATACTCTTAGTTCATGGTAAGGATCCATATTGTCACCATGGAACAGTGCTGTCACAATGCTGGATTATTTCCCCAGTGTGAGGAAATCAAAACAGATATATATGGAACTGGTTTATCACTGGATTTCAATAGGCCTTTATCCCCTCAAGTTTTTTCTTGCTAGTAGTTATCCTGAGGCTTAATAAATTTCATTTTTGAATGAAAAAGCATTATGTCTTTAGTGCTCATTTCTCCATAATTCAATTACATGATAAATTTCAGAGCTGACCAGAAGTCATTCAAGAGATGTGACTGATACACATTTAAAAAACTTTTTGTTTGACCCAAAGTCACACCAGCAAGTGAGAAGAACTCTCTTAAGTATCTACATTCATTTAAAAAAAAATTAATAGTTTTGGCTTTTCAGTAGACGTGGGAAACCCTTCCCCTCATTTTTGGAGTTAGTGTTTCTAAACTGTGAAGATATGTGAGAACTGAAAAAAGCTTTCCTTAACAACCTCTAGGAAGGAAGACTGAGTTAATCCCATAATCAAGTAAGTTTCTCCTTTCAAATTGTAAATATTTAAACCTGTATCTTTTTTTTTTTTTTTTTTTTGTCTTTTTCCTTTTTATCAGTACCAGGGATCAAACTCACGACTGCCTGCTTGCAAGGCAGGCGCTTAAATCCCCAACCCCCTAAACTTGTATCTTTACAATTTCTTTTTGCTTTCTAGGATTTTAAATGTGCAAAGAAACAAATGGATACTTTATTTAAAGCAGTAGATAAATTTTGAAACAATAGCTTTTCATGGAAGCTAAAATTATATTTTTAGGTGATGTATGTTTTCTTCTCATTAGAGCCTACTGAAATTCTGAGAGATACAATAAACCACAGATCACAAGATCACAAGATCAAAAAGTTGGCTTCAATCTCTTACCAATGCTTGAACATTCTTTATGATGCCCCAGCCTACTGATTTTCTGGCGTTCTGATGACAAAGGAACTCACTATCACTTCATATGTTAAACCAGTTTGGGTAGTACAGGTAAAAATTCTTCCTATTTATGAGGAGCACAATATTTGTCTTCCACCCCCTAATCATGGCTTTCTTTCTTAAAACAAGACAAAAGCTAATCACCATATACTGACCAAAATATACAAGCCTAGACCTGGCTTTGCGATTATTATCACTGAGTGAATTAGCAAGTCATGGTCCCTCTGTGACTCTGGTTCACCAGGTATAAAATAACTGCTAATACCTACCTGTGTTACTGTGTGCAGTGTTAACTTCCAGGAGATGCTCAAGAAATACTCCTGAGATCACGAAGGGCAGCACTCATGACCTCAGCGTGTCTTCTCTCCTCCAGACAAACCCCCTCTGCTCTTTTAACTAACTATTCCTTATGTAACGGTGCAAGTTCATCACCATCCTAGGTCTTCTTTGTCTGTATCTTTTAACATCAGGTACCCAGTCAATACTGGACATAACCTATCAAATATAATCATCTAAGAGATCTGATTGGTAAGATTTTTAACAGGCACAGTCCCAACTGAGGGCACAGGTAGAAGGAAGTGGCTCCCTTGTTTCATTTTATCATCTTTGAAATTAATAATGGCATAAAATAGAATCTACTCTCTTCTGAATTCTAAGATTGCTGTCATCTCCTGCCTCCCACTGATATTCATCACCAAATAGCTAATATCCCTTCTTGACTGTAATTTCCCTATCCATCCTCATGACTTGGATCTATTGTACCATGGGGTTAATCTTGAAGTCAGATACTTTTTAAATGCCAAACACAGATACATTCATGAGCTTAGAGGCTTCAGAGCTAATGCTATCTCTGGAAAGCAGGCTTTTTGGAATCTGGAGTTAAAAAAAAAGTCTTAGAGGACAAGTAATAAACCCTTTCACCCTTCATTAGATGTCTTACTCTTCATTATAACCCTGGGGCAGATTATAGGAAAGACAGATCTAAAGGGGCAAAAAGGAGGGTATTCCGCAAATAACAAAGCTTCACAGCTGTTTTGCTTTGCAGTTACTTTGTAGGCCAACAGCTCATCCATCTGCATTAGTAACAAAGGAGTTTGGGGCTATTTCTGGAGTGACCAAATACAATCTCACCCCCTGCCAAGCTCAGCACACTGAGATTAATTTAATCTGCTTCTTGCTCTCTCCCATACTGCTTTTCGGCTTGGCTGGGGGAAAGCAGTTTAAGAGTGAAACTTGCAGAAACCTGCCCTGCTGGCTTACAAGCCAGATAAAAGAAACAAAGAAATACTCTTATCTCTGGAATGTGGTTCACTACTCAGTTCTCTTGACTAGTCCCAAGGCTGAAAATGCTGCTGGGGGATTCCCACAGGTCTTGACTGCCTTCATCCTGGGCACCTGAAGTGGAAGCAGGTGGGGTTGGGACAAAGTAAAATTGAGTCCAGTGGGAAGCAAGGAGGGAGAAACTTGCCTTAAAATTGACCACGGAGGACCAAATATTTGGGTCACAGTGAACAAAACAGAATGTGCTGGTGAGTGTCAGAGAACATATGTTTCATTCAGGTCTCATTCACAATTTTGGCAGAGACAGCTCTTAAGCCGGGATAAAATAGGCAGGCCCGCCTGATGTGAAATCACCTGCTTTGGGGGCTGGTTACCTCCACTCAACAGAACAAGGGGCTGTCAGTCACCTCTGTATCTCCAGGGACTAATCCAATGCCCAACATATGACACATGCCTAATATCTGCTAAACTGGTGTATGTGATCCAGTCTCTGTCATCATTGTCAGCATAGAGTACATGTGTCCCTAATACAAAACAAGCAATGTGGTAGCAGCTGAGATTTGCTGATTGCTCTCTGAAACGCTCATGGTAGGAGAGAGGTTAGGCTGCTGACTGCCTACAGGCACGGCATTCCTGGGTACCTAGCTATGAAGCTCTTTGGCCCTATCTTCCTGACACAGTGGGGATTTCCCCAGGAGATACAGCATTAAGCTTAACCCTGAGGCTGTTAACTCTGGGTTCCCAGTCTCATTTTGAAATATTTATGGTAGAGCCAGAAACCTGCCAGAGGAGATAAGAGCTCCACAGGCAGAAGTAGGGAGGGCCTGGAAAAATGACCTTTCCTTCAGGACTTGTTGGTAAGTATCCAGAGAGGCTGCATTTTCCAGCCTGATATTAGGCATGTGTCATATGTTGGGCACTGGATTAGTCCCTGGAGATACAGAGGTGACTGACAGAGCTGAAGACAGAGATCAAGCTGGTGCCCGAGATGCAAAGTTTGGCTACTTACAATCCAGTTCTGATGCTCTTTATATGCACAGGTAAAGGAAAAACTCCTACCTGTTATGCTGGAATATGGTTTTGCGCTAACATTTGCAAGGGGCAATACAGATGGCCTAGCACTCACTGTGATTGCCCTGTTTCATAGACCTGTGAGACCTGATTGTGGAAGAAACAGAACCAGTGGAACTTCTCCTTCTACCTCTGCAGCCTGTTTATTAGCTGATTTCCAGTTTCTTTAGATAAGACAAAGAAGAATATTTTAATTTAAAAGATTTCCAACTATCCTTGCTTGGCTGCAGCAGGATTAAGATAGAACTAATGAAGTTAAAGAATTTAAGGGAGCAGAGTAGGGGACAGCATGGATTATTTTCTTATGGCCAATTCTGTTCAACCAATAGCAAAACAAGGCTGCCCATCAAAAACAGAACACCTGCTGCAGGCCCAAGCATTAGAATTGTGCTCACTGTGCCTGAGGTTAGCAAGGCCAGCAAGTGTCAGGGTGCCTAGGGGCTGACCGCCGGTTCTAAAGAACAGCATACTCTGAAGCCCAGTGGAACACCAGTTGATAAAGGTTATGAACCTTATCCATAGCAGACAGATCAGACTGCCTAGTTCCAGCAGCAGGCTGGCCTGCCACACAGTATGCTCAGGGCAAAGTACCAGGCCTACAGAAAGATCAAGGACCACCTTTATAATCTCTTTAATTGTAATGGACCCCCAAAGAAATTAGTGGAACTTTCAAAGTGCAGAAACTTAATATTTCAAGAACGCCAAATTCTTGA